TTTGAACTACAAGCCAGACAATCCTTACAAAGCTGCTAGCACACTAACTGTAGAACCCAATGCTAATATTGAATGTCATACATCTAAGACATGGATATTCACTGTTTTATATGCTCTTTGTAGACTTCAATATTAAGAAGCAGAATTATAGAATGGTTGTGTGCTACTAGACAAGACTAGACAAACAACCACATGACAAAACATTTAGGCTGCTACTAACATGCTTCTTGGCAAGGTTAAATTCTGCCTCATGGACCAAATTCAACACAGGCATTACTGTAAAAACTCTTCTGTTATTCCCATTCTGGTTCCACTGGAATTCATAGGAATTTCCTTCTTATACTTTAGTTTGACAAAGAGGTCCTTCCCGAGCTGTGTGGGTCTCCTGCCTTCCTGGCTCAACTTCTTATGTGGGAATCAAGAGACAATAGAAGCCAAAACCTTGAGTACAGCACCAGCCACACAACCAGGCATTCACCTGTTAAGCTCATCTCCTCCTTCCAAAACCGCTTCCTCTGATTAGGAGGATAGAGAAGACTGCCTGAGCTCCAAGGGATGGATAGACTCTCTTGAGGCTTCTAAGTTGCCTCATCACAGTACCACGTGAAATAGTGTGAGTGGATGGTAATCTGTACGGTTCACCAGGCTCCGCAGCCTCTCAGTGACATGGCAAAGGCGAGTTCCTGGTAGGCAGCCAACTTCCCTAGAGAAGTTGTCTGAACAGCAAATGGGCATTTTGATGCCTTTCAGTAAGGAATCTCCAATTACTAATACTTCACATGCTTGTGTGGTGGCACTGGTTCTGATATATGGATCTTCTGCTCATGTTTCCAGCTGCCGCACTGAGCATTTCTGGTAACTTAGCTTCTTGTTCGAAATGTTCTAGCTGTGCATACTCTCAGCTATAACATCCACTGCTGCCTGCAGGTGCTAGTGGGGGCACTTCCAGATGCTGGACCTCTACCCAACCTAAGGTTTGGACAGCTATTTCAGTCCTTGGGAGGTCTGCCTGGGTAGAGATGTCAGCATAGGTAAACTGTAATGCTTCTGTTTGGGTTTCAGCCTCAGCCTTGCAGTTGCAGCAGGTGGAGACCATTTTCTGTCAGGAGAACACAGTTTCCTCATAGTTCAGGAAAAAAATGGCCCACTTACTTGTAAAATTATCATTCTTTTGAAAGATGTCACTCTTTTAAGTCTAATTCCCAGAACACCTCAAATTTTTGAGTAGGTTTGCATAAGCACCACTTACTCTAAGTGACTGGCAGGGCTGCAGCCCAAGCCTGCTGGTGAGGATTTGCTTCTGCTTCAGATGAGCTCATTGTCACAGCAGACTCAGCTTCTCCTGTCCCTCCAGGATGAGACAAAAGAGCAGCTTGTGATGCTTAGCATCTATAAAGGATGAAAAGTATTTCCAAGCTTGCAGGAAAGATGGACCAGCGAGGGCAAGTTCTCCCAGACTATGGTCAAAGTCTTGTTCCGCAAAATTCCTTCTAGCTGATCACATTTGCATGAAGAACTTCAGTAAAGCAAATGCATCACACCTGTACTAGTTCTCAGTAGTTGCTACTATTATATACAAATCTGGTACTGTTGCAGTAGCTGGTAGAAACTTGTCCCTAGCTGTGTCCCCTTGGCATGACCAGCCACATTTTCTCAGCCCACAAACACAGCCATTCTTTCCCAGGCTACTGAACAGCACTGCAGGGTAACAGTGAAGGCCAGCTGATTTGCAACTTGCATCTGCCCAGGCCAGGCCTTCAGGGATGCTCCAGCACTTGGAGGAGCCATCCTTGCTCTGCCCAAACTCCTCTCAGTTAGCTCTGCCCAGTCGGTCCAAAGGCTTAGTTGTCCTCATCTTTGTTGTCCAAATATTTAGACCAGGGTTTTCTAAACTTCCCTGCAACTAATCCAAATGCTGAAGGGAACAGAAGTGCTGATTCCACCAGTTCTACATCAAACCTGTCCTTTACAGAAAAAAAATACGTGCTCCAATGTTAGGCTATTGACTCAGAAAGCTCACAGAAAATTACTGACTTCGTTCATTTGCTTACTGAATTTTAAATATAAAAGCATAGGAACTCATTCAAAGAAATAGTGGTTTTCCAAATGATAAGACAAGGGGTAATGGACACAAGATGGAACACAGGAGGTTCCACTGAAATTTGAGAAGAAACTTCTTCTCAGTGAGGGTGACAGAGCACTGGAACAGGCTGCCCAGAGAGGTTGTGGAGTCTCCTTCTCTGGAGACATTCAAAACCCCGCCTTCCTGTGTAACCTCATCTAAGTGTTCCTGCTCCGGCAGGGGAATTGGACTAGATGATCTTTTGAGGTCCCTTCCAATCCCTAACGTTCTGTGATTCTGTGAAATCTCCTGTCTGTATAATTTGCAAAAGGCACTTGGCCCTTCACTTCTAGTTGCTCCTACAGAGCAGCCACAGAGAGAGTGCTGAAATCTGGGAGCATCACTCGGGTACAGGGACTGCCCAGGACAGAAACAGTATCTCAGGCCCCTTAAAAGGCTAGAGAAGAAATAGGGAGGAACTGGGCAGAGATTTTTATCTCCCTTCACCTGCACTGCTTGGGAAATGCATTTACACACAGAGCTGGAGAACTCGGAGAGAAATGCAGGAGGCCAGAAGGCACCTATTGAGGGCACCACATGACCAAGGCCAAGCAATGTCCAGAGGAGTCACCCCACAAACCCAGCAGGCCAGGCACTGGCTGCACCCCAACCCTGCCCACCCCAACTCCTACTCAAGCAGCCCCTCAAGCAGGAGCTCCAAGGCCACTATTACAGCAAGGACAGTTCTGCACATGGGAGAGGTGCTCAACTGGATAATCCCCACAACGCAGGATTTTGATGCCTAACGCTGCAGCCTTCCCACTTCCTCCCTTGCTGCCAGCTCCTACAGCCAGCAGGACACAGCGCTGTCCTGGCATTGCCTACAACATTTCAAGACAGTTGGATTTACTGCTCGACCCTTAAGTCCAAACACCTCCAGCTCCAGAAATGGCAAGCAACAACTGCTATTCAGCAATTTGTTCTTTTGCTGCCCCAGCATGCCAGGACATGGGTGCCAGGCTGTGATGTCACCGCTGGGCAGCACAGGCATCACAGTGGCATTTGAGGACTTCCCTTCCGCACCTGCAGCCAGCCAGTGCCAGTTTGTTTGTGCTTACTGTGTGGTGGGAACAAGCCAGCTCCTCAGGTAAATGCCTACAGCTAGGCACCACCTTGGTCTAACCCTCACAAGAGTGTTTTCAAGGGTGAAATAACATCTGTTTCTGCTGTGGACAAGCTCACTGAGTTGGTAGACTTAACTTCTCCTGTACCTCTAGGATGGGACAAAAGAGCACCTTCTGATGCTGATCTAGCATCCATCAAGGACGAGAAGCTTTTCCAAGCACAGCGCAGCACCAACAGAATCCATCCCATTTCTTTGGAGGAGAGCTCTGGTGAACCTGGTGACTTCACATCCTTTGCCTTTCCAAAGGAGCTCTGGAAAACTGTCCAAAGCCATCAGTTTCAGTCCATTTAGTGGCCTGATGATGGCATCTGTGTTGTGATTGATGAAGAAGCCTTTCGAAGGGAAGTGCTGGCATGGAGAGGACCTCACAGAGTTTTTGAAATTGACAGCATTAAAAAACCTCCTTTGACAGCATAAAAACCCTCCTTTTTCAGCACCACCTCTACAGATTCACCAAAATGCAATGTGACTCTGAAACCTCTAACTTGCTTGATGTATTTCTGGCAGAATTAGCAATGGCACCTTCTGCTCTCAGCAAGGTACATAACTTCTCCTGCACACAAACTGTCTCTTAAGGATATTCTGGCCTGAGAGCTTTACTTTCCAGTAACTTCACAATGGAGGAGAAGAGGAAGATAGCAGGAGATGCTCAGAGATTCAGTTCTTTCTCAGGTCATTTCTCAGGTGAAAATACAAGGATGGTCATTACTTAACACAATCACATCATAACCTTTCGGTCAGTCTAAGGTTTAGGTTTCACATGTCCCACAGACCTTTTCAGTGCCCATGCTGGTCTTTTGCCATTACCGAAGGCTCAGTTCTCCCATCTCGGTGTTTTACGGTCCCCAAAGGCTGGCAACTAACTCCTCTTTTGCATGTTTTAGTTACTCTTCTTCTACAACACCAACTTCGAGAGAGATGATACCCACCTGCACAAGAGGTGCAAGCAAAGAGTTGGCTGCAAGAGAGCAATGGCTGTACTTTTACTGGGCCTGGCTTTGAAGGAAGATTGCCCCGCAAGAAGCCCAGATGTGCAGTCTGTGGGTACAGCCACTGCTGTCAGGCCTTGTGTCCCCCCTCTTTTTACCACCACAGCACAGCCAGGCTCCACCTGGCCTCCAGTAGGCTGGTTCTGCTGCACCTGGTCCTTCACCAAGCCATGGCACACCTTCCTTAAACAGTGGGACACCTTGCACACCAGGGCTCAGGCTTCTCCACCCCTGCAGCCAGACAGAGCAGCTCTGCAAACCCCTGAGGCTGCTCTGCCTCCCTTCTGGCACCCATGGTTGTCCATGCTGGCAACAGCCTCTCCTCTGGCCACACCAGGGCCACCGCACACCCAAATCCCAACCTCCACTCACTGCCTGACTCACACCTGCAGCCCAAACCCTGCTGGGACTCTATCACAGTAGACACACTAGGGACCCAGCCAGTGGAGTGTTGGACATTTGGGAACAAACTTTCTCAGAAAGAAACCCTTTCCAGTTGTCCTGTTCTGCTTCTACAACTGAATCCCAGACTGAGTTTATATTTCATCAGTCAAAGCAGGACCAACAGATCTACAAACAATGACATGATTTCTTGTATCAATCAAGCTCCGATTCTGAGAAATCCTAGATCTTTCATCTAATTTGAGAGCTTTCCAAGATTGCATAGTCATATAGAAGCAAACCAAGGTGGGAACATGAGTTCAAATACAGTTCAGAGGTGGAAACACATTTCCTACCAAAACCTACCCAGTAAAATCATTACTGTTAAAAATGCTAAGTCAGAGTTGTGGACATATTTGTACTGAGCCAGGTGTTGGAATACTTCTGACCTTGTAATGTGGGCTCCTGCAGAGGATATGCAGATTGTGCCTCACTTCCGTTTTCTCAGCCTGTGGGATCTAACACGGGGTACAAAAACCCTAGGGGAGATGAAGAATATCCCCTGGGGTTTCAGAAAGAAACTTAGTAGAACTTAGATTTTTATCTAGTTTATATCCAAAAAGAACAAAAAATAAATTTTTACAAACATTATTTAATATACAAATTGACACCAGCGTCCCCACGCAGTATATCAGAGCATCCCACATCACACAGGGTACCAAGGTCTCCTAGGGGACGAGAGGGTGACCACAGCACAGCAGAGTTCACAGGGATGCCCTCATTCATTTGCTAATTTCAGTGTATTGCCAGGTAACACAGTTCATGTGCACCAGTTTAAGTGGACATACAGATTTGTGGTCTCCTTGTAACTAAACTACCCCTCACAAAATGGCACAGACCTTAGAAAGCTTCCTGCAAAGAAACTGCAGGTGGAACATAATCCTGATAATGCAAGTGAACAAGAACATGGCAGAGCTGACACTTCTCCTGTTCCTTAAAGGAGGAACTTTAGCGAAAGACTAGCCAAAACCAGGAGAAAAATTAATTACCCAGAGGCCGTCAACCATGTCACTCCTACCTGCAAGCACTGAACAGTCTAACCCCTCCTCTACATGCAGCGCCACTTCACCTACCCTGCCTGTCTCTCTTGAAGACCCTAGAACCATCCATCACAGGACTCTGCCACCAAGTCTCACTTAGGCCAATGTTATCATAGTTCTGGGACCAAGCCAAAGCTTCCAGTTCCTCTTGTTTATTCCTTACACTGCAGGCATTAGTGTACAAACATCTGAAATGTGCTCCACTGTATTTGGTGCATCACAGAACAGAGTGAAAGCCCTCACTAGCACACCATCACTCAAACCTCAGCATGCCATCCCAGAGCTATCACTAGTAACCTCGTTCTGCCTCACACCTCACACCAAATGTCCACAGACATTTACTTTGCTGGAAAAAAAAGTTATTAAAAGCTCCTAAAAATCTACTGAAAAATACATGGGGCTGTATTTTTAAGTACTCAGGTGTTAAAATTTCAAGTCTCAAAAAGAAGACCTGAGGAAAAATTTAGTTTGAATAAAAAAACATGAACCTGAAAAAAAATTTTACTTGCAGTAGTTCTGTATGAAAACATCTGCTTATGAAGAAAAGTGCCAGGAATCTTAAGATTAGATTAACTAGAAGTCTAGCAACCAACTTTGCCTTTTAACATTGTTTTCAAGTAAATATGTAATTTTTTTATATTAAAGCTCTACAGCTAGGAACAATCATATCCACCAAACAAATGGTTGACACTGAAGAACTAAATACAAGTCTTATTTTTCTAGGTATCTATCCAGTAAAATTAAAGACACATTTATTATGTATGTCACAGTATCTGTAATGGCTTTTATTCCAGGCACAGACAGTATAATTCATGGAGACCCTGAGATTTTCTAGTTACAAACACATGCATCAAAGTCTCTTCACTCTACTGTTATCATTACGTGTAATCATTGCAGCATAAGAGTAACACCTGTTAACTAAACACACATAACTAACTGCAATGTTGAGGTAGCATTTTGAGTAGCATGCATTCAAATTCCTTGCCATTCAAAAACATTAAAACTGTTCAGTAATTCTTAAAATAACAGCTTCTATTATTTCATCCAAGACAGTAGAAAGGGGGGAAAAAAACAAGTTTTAAAAAACTAACTTTATTTTTTTTCTTACATTTAAAGAGGGATGTATTTCATTTTTAGACATCCAGCCAATGTTGACTTCATTAGTTTAGACAGGGAAAAAAAAGTATATAAATGCAAATCATATTGGCATAACTTGAACATACCTGTATTAGTAATGACTGCTTTGCTAGGAGAAAAGTTTCTTCAGCATTAAAACCAAGCACATTAAAAAATATTGCTGAAAAGCAAGTGCTTAGATACTGGTCATTTCAGCAAATAAACAGCTTTTATATATTCAAATATTTTAAGTCCATAATATACACACTTTCTTGTTATGTGTACAGAGCTCAACTATTAAAAACACTGTACAGGTCAAAAACCTCTGAGAATAAAACTAATCAGGTGTGTGAGAAATACACATACCACATGTACTTACAAATCTTACAAAGCAACAAATCTGGTCAAGTACTACAAAGAAAGATGTGTTTTCGTATGAGAATGGTCAAATAACCTACATTTTCAGCTCAAATAAAAACAACATAGTAACTTCTGGTGTTTGAGATAATCAATAACATGTACTCATACAGTAGAAACTTATGACCTCTTATACAGTACTTTTTGTAGGCTAAGTTCAGGGGTTTTTAAAACAAAACCTTAGGATTGTGAACAGCAACAATGACAAAGATCAAAGTATACATATGAGCACATAAACTGGCTGTTAAAGAAAAATAAATTACAAATTACAATTAAAATCCTTGTAAATGAAATAATGAATTCAAAGATGTGCACTTATTTTCATTTACGTTTTAAATGCTACCACAAAAGAGATGAAAAATAAATACAGATGCCAAAAGACATGTGTGGATAGAAAAAAAAAAGCTAATTAGCTCTAGAAGAATTATAAAAAATTGAGATAATCTGAGTTTTGGTCAAAAAACAAATCTGTCTAGTCACTTCCATCACTCACACCCTTTCTTCAATGACTGGCAGATAAACATGACATGAGCACACCTCTATCATTATGGCTTCAAAAGAAGCATGTATTTCTGAAGAAGAAAACATAAAATAGGCTGCCTTGTCTACAGAACTGCTGGTTTGCTCATATTCCAGACACTTCATCATCTTTAGTCGATCCTGCTGTAGCAGGGGGGTTGGACTAGATGATCTTCAGAGGTCCTTTCCAACCCCTACAATTATTTGATTCTGTGATTCACTGGACTGCGGGGAAGTACCTGACACATCTTTGCAAACCTACTATATTAGTGATGTTACACTGAAAGTCAAGAAGTTTCAAGGAGAAAAGGTCTTGGGAAATTTTGGGTGCTATGGGCAGGTATGCAGAGAAGGGAGATGTCTAACTCACTTTCTTTGCATTTGTTTTCTAAATTAAAGAGTAGAATAATTTACAAACGTCTCTAACATTACATGGCACATCCATATTTTCAAGTTAAAGATGTTGTCAGTAATCAGCTATCTTAGTAAACATACAGGTTGTGATACTGATTCCACTTTAACCAGATTCACATTTAGTCATACTTTCACAATTCCTCTGTGTATCTCTTTTGAAGATATTTCAGTCTTCCTAACATGCGGACGACACTGAATTAGGTGGGAATGTTGGTCTGCTCGAGGATAGGAAGGCTCCACAGAGGGACCTTGACAGGCTGAATTGATGGGTTGAGGTCAGTAGTATGAGGTTTAACAAAGTCAAGTACCGGGTCCTGCACTTTGGCCACACCACCACCATTCGGCACTACAGGCTTGGTGATGAGTGGCTGGAAAGCTGTCATGCAGAAAAAGACATAAGTGTGCTGATTGAAGCCAGCTGAACATGAGTCAGCAGTGTGCCCAGATAGTCAAGAAGGCCAACAGAATTCTGGCTTGTATCAGAAATAGCATGGCCATCAGGATCAGGGAAGTGATTGCATCCCTGCACTCTGCATTGGTGAGGCTGTACCTCAAATACTGTGTTCAGTTTTGGGACCCTCAGTACAAGAAGTACATTGAGGCAGTGGAGCGTATGCAGAGAAGAGAAACAAAGCTGGTGAAGGGCATTGAGAACAAGCCTTATGAGGAGCAGCTGAGGGAGCTGGGACTGTTTAGTTTAGAGATTGTTTAGAGAAGACTGAGGGGAAACCTTACTGCACTCTATAACTACCTGAAAGGTAGAGAAATGGGGATGTTGGTCTCTTCTTTCATGTAACTAGTGACAGGACAAGAGGAAATGGCCTCAGGTTGTTCCAGGGGAGGATTAGATTGGATATTAGGAAAAGTTTTTATACTGAAAGAGTGGTCAAACACTGGAACACGCTGCTGAGGGAGGTGGTGGAGCCCCCATCTCTGGGGGTGTTTAAGAAACGTGTGGATGTGGCACTTCAGGACATGGTTTAGTGAGCAGGGTGGTGGTAGATTAATGGTTGGACTGGATGACCTTAGAGGTCTCTTCCAACCTTAATGACTGTGATTCTGTGATTACTGGAAGCATAACTTTAATTATACAAGTCGCTAAATTCTTTCCACAAACACTTTGTCATTTCTACTCTTCCGCAATTCCATTGTAGGCATAACAAAAGCAGGTTTTCAAACGCACAGGCTACTGGAAATTCTTTCTGTTCATTAGTACAGGCAACATTTAGACACCTGCCAATGGTTAAATCATCCTCCTCAGTATCTCTTTGACAGTGGCTGCACCACAATATCACAGACAGGTTTTCATACTGATACAATCTGACTACAGTATCACGAATAACACTAAAAGAAAATGCAGGTGTCAAATGAATTTTTAAGATTTTATTATTTTTTCTATATAGTTGTGCATCTGTATTTTTCTTCCGCATTTTTGAAGAAAACTACTTTTGATATGCTGCTACAAATGCCAAGAACATATTTATGACATCTGCCTTAGCAGCTAAGACACTGTCAGTACTTCCTAGGACAGGAAAAATACTTTTCAAGTTTAATTTTGCTGAAGATACTGTTCATTTGTACCATTTCACTGGCCCACTTGTTGATGGTCAAAGCAGCACACACATTTGACAAAATCTTAAAGCTTTCAGAATAGATGAATTAAAGAAACAAAAGCTGGATGCAGGAGAACCAAATCAAAGCACACAGGCATGACATTGTTGCTAAGGGAATCCTTGGAAAACGTGTGGTCATTACGAAGGTGTAGTTTTGTTCGTTTGTTTTTAAGATCACAAGACAGCAATTGAACAAATATGAAATTCCCCATGTTCTGCTTGGTTCCAATCATTTGTGGCACTGAATGGTTTTCCTTTTCCTCCGCTTGAAAAAACAGCAGCACCTGCAGATGTGACATGAATTACATATGTATAAAATGAAATCATAAAACTAAATCCAAATTTTACTTGAAATCTGCAGTTCAGGTATAGCACCTTAAGGAACACAGTAAGTTCTATTGCAGGTGATTATTTATTAGTGAAAGAAACTGAAGTAGAGATATTTTTCTGGAAACAGTTATCAAGTGAAAAAATCTGTAATAAAATCCAGCTATTAAGTTTAGAGTATCGAGTGAGAGTATCAAAAGCACTGGCATTATAGGCTGACTTAAAAATGTATTTGTAAGAATAAGGAATGTTTCCTTAGCTGAGTACTCTCACTAACTGGTAATATGCCAATCAGAAGCTTGAACTTAAGGTTGAGTCACCTGAAATGTGTACTTAAGACACTACAAAAAAAACAATTTGAGCTTCCTTTGTCAATTAGAACTTGGGAAAACCTTCCCTGAGGTTACTTCCCAAAATATTTTAGAATAAAATGTTCATGAATGTAACTAATGTTCTGATTCAGTGTTGTGATGATATTGCCAGTGAAAAATCACAGCTTTAAGTATATTGAAATACACTGACATTCTTTCTTCTGCTTTATTGCATACTACATGAAGGAAATAAAAATTGACAAATATTGCAAATTTCACTTAGCAAATAGAGGCAATCTGAAAAAAAAAACAATTTCAGGGATTTAGAGACGGATAATACAGAGGACTGCAAAAGTCCAGGAAGTATTTTTGAAAATGAAGAAGAAAGCAACAAATATGCAAAAAAACCCCTTTGTCATTTGCATGTAATGTTACCCTTATTTTAAGCAACTCCCAGCTCTTGACCAACACCTTTAAAAATAAAGCTTCCACTTAGTAAGGTATTCACAATTTGCAATCAAAAGTGAACATGCAAGCTGTCTACCTTAACAGAGCTTGCCTCATGGAGCTCTGCAGTTTGGTTATTGAATTCTCACTTGCAGTGCTATATACTCAAACAGTCTTTCTTAAACTATGAAGTACAACAGAAATGAAAATATAAATGTACCGCATCAATAGCCTATCAGTAAGTCCTTAAGTTCACCAAGCATTTTATGTCACTAAAATTCAAAAGGAATTCTAATGCTTTAGTCTGGAATATGGGAAATGGGGAAAGCATTCGAAAAACAGGGAGAATAAGGGTCTAAAAATAACGTTCTACAGGAAGTGAGAACAACATCAACATCCAAAGTAAGGGGAGACAGAAGTTACCTTCTCAAAATATCCAAGGGCACCCTGTCGCTCAGTCACTGAAAAAGTAGCAGTGGGCAGAGGCAGAGCAGAGCTGCTCTGAGAGTTACATAACTTTCAGTAGAGAAAAAAATTGGTTATTGATGTAGAAGAATCTCAAAATTAAAATTCAATAGGGGAGACTACATAGATTTTTACATCTAGCAGAAATATCATACTGTATTTATTAACTTTAAAATCCTTCTAAGAGAGACACAATTGTTTTTTAGGGCTAGTGGCAATCCACTGCAACTGAACTTCCCCCATAATTACCAGCTCTTTTTCTTATCATCTGCCTCCAACCACTAATATCCATTATTACTTAAGCTTTGAATTTATATCCAAATATATAGAGTAGAATTTAGTTTAATCCTTCTTCCACCCCAATCATCTCCCAAGTATTTTATATATGTATATATACAACAAACATCATACCAAAACAAAGCATTTTACAGTGTTCCTTTCCCTTCAACATAAAATATCCTATGACCCTGTAAATGAGGGAATCCTATCCTGGACTGTGATGGTAAATCACTTTCATACCTGTTACAGATTAGAAGGCCTCCACCTCCAAGAAAGCTTATAGAAAATTTTAATCTCAATGCATAATTTTAATACATACAGCAGATAGGTTACACAAGTAACTGTAGGAAGACTAAAGTGTGGCAGTTTATATTATAGAAAAACAATCTAGAATTCTAACTTCACTGTTTGACTGCTATTGTGCTTATATGCAGCATGTCTCAAGGAGCAGAAGATCACACTTCTTAAATGTTTAGGACCGCTTGGATCTTCTGTGCAATTCAAGAATACTGTAGGTTTTCCTGCTTACCTTCTCAAAAAATTTTAACCAAACCTTGCTGCAAATCTTATACTGTCCATTACTCCTTCTCTATAGCCTATTTAGTTTGCTACTTCTCGCTCAACTGAAGAAGGGCATGATGCAATCTTTATCCAACCACAAGCATTGCTTTTTTAATCTCTTGGTCTGGAGTTTGCATAACACTATTAAGAGTATAATTTCTATTAACAGTTTGGGCTTTTTTTAATTATAAGAACTACTCAACTCTATTCTAGTTCAGGGAATTTCAGTAAATGCTGAAGACTTATTTGATGTGGAAAAATAAATCCTGTATTAACATATAATATAACTAAAAAGTGTTAAGCAATGTGAATTCCATACAGCATTGTTAACCACAGAACTGGCTTGGAAACTTACTGAAATATATATTTATCAGCCTAAAAGTGCAAGACCTGTCAAACCTTCCAAGGCCAAATAAATGTAATTTTAAAATATATGCACATTTACATGAGAATAAGACAGGTCAGACTACATTGTCTGCTAATAAATTTTATGAAAGAAAAGTAACCCTGAAATTAGAGATTCATATTGTATAATCCCTTGAAAGGTATAATTTACAATAGAAGTGTAGACATGTTCCTACAAATGCTGTCACTAGAGGGTGTCATTATTACTTGTTTTATGTAGATATAGATATATATTTATTACATTGCTTAAAGCCGTATTTAAAGCTATGGATAGGGGCATTATTAATGAGTATTGAATCACAAATTTATCATACTTGTCTTATGCAAAATGCATGAGAATTGATACAAGGATCTAATCTTCGGCTAAACAGTATTTGTGTTCATAGTTAAAATCACATATGATAGGGCACCCTTTCTTCAACCTTTTAAATGATGCTAAGCTTCTAAAACTATGAAAACATCTAGAACAAAGAATTTTAAAACATCTTGAACAAAGAATGAAGTGCTTTGAAAAAAAAAATTCAAGTTTGTCTCAGGGTTTGAGGAAATAATGCAGACATGCTATCAGCAAGAGAGGTTAACTTTGTTCATAATTTCAGATAGAGAAAAGATTATGAAAGACTCTTACTAAAGAGTCTTTTGATAAAACAATGTCTCCTTAAAAACAAGAATGTCTACATCATAGACATGAAAGATATTGATACTTGCATTTCCTTACACTGTTCATTGTAAAATCTATAAAAAGATGTTCAGATGTCTCACAATACTTTTTGCTATTAAGCTTGTAACTACCATGTTAAAATGTAAAATTAACTAAACCAAATGAAGTATTTTTACTGAAAAAAGATGTATACCTATATATTGATGTCTGATAGAAATGCTGGGGGCGGATGCATGTGCATGTCTGTTGTTTTAATCACTGACAAAATACAAAACAACTTCTACCTCCCCAAAAAACCAGTGACTGAGAAAACTGCAGTTTAAATGGACACCATTGGAAAATTAATTTGTCTGTTTCGTATTGAAAGAAGACTAATCTAAAGAGTAGGATATTGAGACTAGATGTTTTGTCTGTAACAAACCCAGTGAAGACTAGGCCAAAAGGTCAAGGACAGCGTATCTTTCCATCAATTATTCGTATCAGAGGAAACCAAATTCTATACTTTTAAAGTCACTGCAGTATCTTGGCTTCTGAGAATTCTCTTATTTTCTGTAGATAACCAAGCATAGGCTTAATTCTGCTAAGCAGTGCTCAAAACATTAGAAATTTTATCTTTTCTCATATGTCCATAAACTGGGCATAAGGAAAGGTCATCACTGCACTTAGCCAAAGGGAAGGGGATAGAAAACTTCTCTGTGTGCAGCCTACCAATATCCTTCATCATTGGGGTCTCTCTTTTTTGTTTTCTTTTAAATATATGTAAGAAAACTGATTTTTTGCCAGAAAAATAATAATGCAGTACTCTGCAAAGATGGAAGAAAAAGAACTCATCTGCTTAGTGCTCACAGAAAGCTAGTGCATGTGTGGCACAACAGACATATTAATGCACTATTTTTAACTACACATGAATCTTACATACCAAAACCAGAACTTGCAGAAAAATTACAAGACAAATTTCTAATTTGAGAAATTTCCCCTTATCTAAAAGTTAGAAAAATAGGCCCTACAAAACTTACCACTATAAAGGTATGCTTAGTGGATTTTTCTGCTATTAATGCATCTTTCATACTTAAGTGCCTTTATTTTATGATAAACGAGATCTATAGCCTTGAAAAACCCTATTCCAAGCACAACTATAAAAGAAAACATGCTGAAAGTTAATACTGCCTTTAGCTATCAAGAATATAGGTTATGTTTTAGTGATTAGTTAGCAGATTGTCAAAGTTTAGTACTCTGGAAAATACTATGTTTGCAGAGAGAATGGGCAAAGTTCAAACATTTCCTAGCATTTATTACTCATTCATGTGAGTTATTTTCTAGATGTTAAAAGACAAGCTGAATGCTACAGCATCTGAAAATAATGTTTTCCCCTCTAAAACAGGATAGTAAGAAAAAATATTCTACTGCCCACTAGAAAGCTTTAAATAAAGTACACCACAGACTACACAACTTAAAAGCAAGCAAGAATTGAAGCATGCCTGAAGATCGCCTGAAGGTGGCTGTTTGTAAAACGAGTTAGTTGTTTCATAATATTGAAACATATTTTGTCATTTCTAAATGGACTTGTTATTTTGAAGTTCTCTGAAATTAGTTTTAAAACAAAACAAAATAACAAGAACAGAACTCCTGGGGCTATTTCTGTCTGCTGGTGCTGCAGAACTTACCACATGTTCAACACTTTCTGGCAGCTATGCAGAAAAAGAGTAAGGAAAAAAACAGAATCAGAATACCAAACAGAGGAAGAATTTTACATCTTACACACATAACTTTTGGTAGTCAGAACACTATCTTAAAACAAGTATTTCCAAATTAGCTGTAATATCAAAAATGCATGCACTTCTCTAGTATACAGAGATGCGTTACTGAGGGCTTCGTCTAAAAAGCACCACCTATAGAAAGTCTATCATTTAAATATTTAAGGCCAAAATTAAAGACAGCACTACAGTTTTGCTTCTCACCAGTGACTATTCAATTCAGACAATAGTTTTTGAACAACTACCAAGAAAATTGAAGTACCTGAGCATATAAGATTCAAAGAATACTAAAAAAAAAAAAAGGACGTACTTTGTTTCATCCATTACTTCTACTTCTGCAGGAGCTGTGATGGGTGCATTTGAACAGCCTGCAGTTGGGTCATCTGTGTTCAGTTCCCCATTTGTTGAGCTCACTACCTGAAATCACCAGAAATACCTGAAATTATGCTAGTGCCAGAGATTTGCTTGTCAATTCCAAAAGATACAATACATCTTAAAAAAAAAAAAAGTAATTTTTGTTATTGCCATAATTCTTTTTTAATCCAGGTTTTACTCCTGCATCCTCTTTCATACGTACTAGAAGAACTGACATCTATACAACAGACTCAAAGTAAGCGGACTAAGCAAAGCAATTATGTTGATCAGGTTTGCTGATCTCTCTTGTCTCTTCAAAACCTTAAGGGATGGGACTAATCCCTTTCCTGATACCAATTCAGTCAGTCTTATCCTATCTCTGCTTCTTTAGTGTATTTAAGTACCCTCTTTTCCTTCTTTGTGTGGCTTGATTCAGTCAAATTTCAGAGTGTACTCACTAGAAGAGAGAAAAACTAAGATATTTTCTAGATCTAAGTGTGTAGGTGGTGTTTGGTTTTCAGTTTTAGAACACAAGAACACTTACTGTCATAAAAAAACCAAAACAACAACAAAACCCTCAAAAACAACTAGATTAATCTTGATTCCCAATTATTTACTCTCAAATTTGTAAATCCTGAAGCCACCAGGATAGCTTTGGCTCTCTCGGAATGTCTGTTTTGACTTTAAATAAAATGGAACCCAATATTGTGTCTCTCAGTTCCTGTCAGCTTTCCTGCATGACAAAAGGACCTATCCTAGAAGCCTCTTCATTATTCACCTCACAGAACCTGTCAGGAAGATGGTTAACTGGATATAGACACATGCATTTGTGGTCAGGGCACCTATCAGTGCTAACTGACCAATTAAAGTATCAAGAGGTCTCCTAACTACAAAGTAGCGGCAAATGCACAAAAGCAACATTGCACAAAAAATATTATTCTGCCCAAATAATATAAATCTGTTAAACAATAAGCTACCAGGAAGTGGACCAATAGTAGTTCATAGTTTTTATTCATGAAAACGTAAGGGTAAAAAAAAATTCTCAACTTGTCCACCAAATGAGTTTTGGATCCAAAGGATGCAGATAGATTTCTGCTCTATGATATATACATAAAATGAATTTTTCTGAAGAGATTCTCAGATCTGTGCTTAAGGTTTAGTAATAACAATTGATAAGAAACAAAAGCCTTTGGCTTCAGCTTGCTCAAGTAAGGGTAGGGTACACCAAGACACAAGAAGACAGGTATACACCTCTATCTGGATGCGAAAATCAAACACATACACTTTAATACTTCTCACTGTTGTAAAAAACAGGTGACAGTTTGCACAGGTATTTACAAGAACTCCTATTTTCTTTTTTCCTACAAAAAGCAAATGAAAGTATGACTTTCTACTCAAATATCAAACGCATTGCCCAACTCTACCATTTATGGAGCTTTCAAATGGCATTCTTCACACTTCTTTCCCAGGAGTGCCTATTTAATCATTCACCTCTATCATCTTGGACAGCAGGTTCAAAAAAAGAGATGACATTCAAGCATGTATACATTCTTCATTTGAACTAGAAAACATGAAAATAGATATCTAAAAATCCTTTCTACATTAATAACCTAGTTATGAATACTGTTTTTCAACGAGAGGTTGAAAAAACCCTTCTTTCCCTTCTGATGGATAAAAAAAAAGGAGAAAGTGAAAACATTTTGACAGGAAAAAATTGTATTTAAACACATTTTTATAGTCTGCTATCACTGCTAGAGGAAGTCCCTTTTGGAGAGGCAGGCAGGTCAGAAAAAAAAAAATGGTTTGCTGCTCTGGTGGAAGATTCATGGATAGTTCCTATCAGTCTTTGTCAACAGCTGTCTGGTCTCTTTGGAACCTCATCTGGCAATTGTTAAAAGAATATCTGCAAGATTTGAGCAACTCATAAAAACAAAAAAAATCCTGGTTTGTGATAGGGGTTTTTATGGTGGTTTTGTGTTTTGGTTTTTTTTTGTTTGTATGTTTGGTTTTTTTCTAAATCACAGTTAGTTGAAGTTATACTAATCTATGCTGACTTCAGCTTTAAAGGAGTAGTAACAATCTTCTGCTTGGGTCAATACACTTCCATATGGTAAAAAAGAACAAAGTTTATTTCAGTGTTTCCCTAACATGTTTATATTCTCATAAAAGAGGAAACAGAAGATATAACCACTTGTTTTGGTGATTCTGTTCTTTAAATTCTTCAAACTGACCTCAAAACTGAATACTATTTCTTGGCAGTGGTTTCCTATAATGGGAAAAAAGTCTTTTCCAGACAGGATTTGTCCTAAGGTGTTTTCTCTATTAATTTAAGAAGACTGTTTTCTCAAAGAAACTTCAACACAATCTTTGTAGAAACTTTTGCATCAAACAGCAGAAGACTGTCCTGTCTCGCTCAACCAGAGATCAGGAGATCAAGGAGAACGATACCTCAGTCATCCTCATATAGATGCATCAGATATATCCACCAAATACACAACCAAATATGATCAAGTGTAACTGCCTGTTGCATGGCTCAGTTTAGATTGGATGAAAATGAATCCTTCTGGAAAAAGTTGTGACCTCTGAAAGCCTAAGTAAACCAAAGAGTATTGGTAGCCCAAAGAAACCAGCATCAGTCATTCTTCTACTGAATTACAAATGTCCCAAGTTTCACTGTAGTCTACTACTGCTGAAAACAGCTCTAGGAATGGTCTCACTTGATCCTCAAAGACACAGATCAAGTGGCTGCAACTGTGAAATAGGGAATAACAGGAACATTCTGAACTTTACTAGAAAGCAAGCTTAATATGAAAGCAGGAATCATGTCACGCACTACAGGAAACTAGTATTATATAATGCAATTTTACCATGAGATCAATCAGACATTGGAATAATCTCCCAGGGGAAGTGGTAAATTCCCCTACATTAGTCAGTTTTAAGAGTCAGCTTGACAGAGTGCTGACTTATCTCATTTAAACTATACTTCTACCTTGAAAGGTTGGGCTAGATGATCTTTGTGGTCCCTTACAACCTGGTATATTACAATTCTATAAAAATGACTGATTAAGTCACGCAAAGAAGCGGAAAATACCTGTACCGAGCCACCATGTCTGCCAGCTGCTAGGTGAGCCCTCAAATGATGTGGATTGGCTTGCTGTGAGTCCCAAGCTGCCCTATGGTCTGTTGACTATCGTTTTTGAATGCATGAGGAATATATGCAAAAGAAATAAAATTTCCAAAAATAAACAATTCAGGCATAATTTATATTAATAATATTATTTTTAAAAGCACAGAAGCACTACATACTCAATTTCTATATAGACTGTACATCAACATTATGCTTGCATATGCCCACATGTACATTTTCATACAGAAGTAATGTAGCTAAAATGCAAAATTCCTAATAAAAAACAAGGTCCACCAACACAACCTCTTAAATTAGCTTATGTAAATGGACACAGCACTAAATTCCTAACATTTTTACCACCTTGGCCATTATCCTGGTTTGGGGAAAAAAAAAAGTGGAAGTGTTATATATACGTGTTACAAATGAAATAGACATGGGGAAGACACAGTGATTAAAAACAGAGAACTTAAAAAAAATTAAAGGAGTATCAGCAGACAGAAAATTTCCTATTGATGTAAGCTACATTATATCATAGCATCAAAAAAGCAACCCTTTAGGACATTTTAAAGTCCACAGATGCATAAGTACTTTAACAAGGAACTATTTAAATCAAAGAAATAAAGAAAACCTGGAGTCAACTTTATTCTGGAGTTCTAATCAAAGCAACAACATTGCACAAATCATTACATGTGAGAAATTGTGTGGGAAGTAACTTGTTAAAGCATTAGGGTACAGAAACATTGCTAAGGTCTTGAAATAAGTTTTAAAAGACGTGGTGTTTTGGAACGTAACAGGATGAGAATCTTACCAAAAAAATCAGTAAAATCCTAATTGGTAATGGGGTACAGTGGACAGCAAAAGAATTCGCATTGTATATAGGAAAGAAAAAAAAAGGGGGTGGAATTCAGATGGAGTTGGTAACTTCTATAGTATTTGTGAAGGTTGTAAATCCATCAAGGCCTGAAAGATTTCTACATTCAAAGACAGAGGTAAATCTTACAAGACAGAAAGAATGGTGCCTCAAAGCTAAGATAAGCAGAACATCCTTGAAGATAAGCAACTAATGAGCTAACACAGCAGCAAGAAACCGACTTAAATCACTAGTTATACAGCGACAATAAAGGTGAAAAGTTTAGGGTTAAAGATTTCCCCAGAAAACTGCTGAATATGTAAATAACTTTGTAAAAATGTGTGGCTATGATAATGAATGTTACTATAAAACCTCAACCTATTAGCAGGTGTGCTTTTCAGGCATCCCACTTCCTGAATGTACCCAGCATGCTGCTAATAAACCTTTGCTTCACAGAATTTATCCATCTCTAAATTTGCATTTTGTGAGCACATTTCTCACATTAGACAAAAGACAAAGAATCTTATATGAGCATTTTACCTGATTTTTAGGTTGTTGCATTTTATCTCTGTGCTGACATGCTTCTCTGTTTGAAGACAGTGTAGGGTTTGAATGTATTGAACGCAATGGAGTAGGCTACAAATATAAATAGTATGTAGCAACAGGTAAAAAAAAAAAATAAATTTCTAAAGTCTTACCAACAGTTACAGGCTTGTAACAGAATTTAATCTTTAAAACTGACAGTTTCCCATAACCTGAAATTATCAAATTAAAGCAAAAGCCTCACTAGGTATTTACTGATATGAAAGACAAAAAATGTAATCCAAGACTCACATGATTTCATAAAGTAGCAAGCTTATTTATTATCAGACATTAATTTTCTGAAAGACTTTAGGTTGATATTTTCTGCAGTTAGGATGTTTTTGATGAAAGCCTGAAGAAAGGCTTAAAGTAATTTTTAGTGCTAATTTCCATGCTAAACACTGAAAAAAGATTCTTTCAGGGAGTCACACAAGGATCTTCAGGGTAAAATGTATAATTTGAAATTATCCATCTTACACACACAACCTCTTCCTTACATATTAAAAAGAATCAAGAAAAAAATTGAGATGCAAAAGAATTAATATTTTACTCTTTTTTTAGAGAATATAAACACAGTATTTTCTGTAACTTTAGATGTGCTTTGACGGAACCTGATAGTCTAGTTCATATTTCATTAGAACAATGCATACATAGTATAGACAGTTTCTTCACAATGAGCTGATAAATACCAGTGATTGCTCTACATTTTAAAAATACTTGGAGCAAGAAGGTCCCCAAAGCAAGAAAATACGTGCAATAACAATCACCTGCAAAGTTTTAAACTTCTTCAACAAGCCTGAATTCCTATAACCTTGTTTTGGATTGAACAGAGATATACTTTGACATTAAGAGTACATGTTATGAAAGAAAATCAGTATGAAACATCTCAGACTGAAAAATAATGTCTGAAAACACATCTGAAAACGGGTTAGTAATAGCAGCTGTTCACAACTCTAATAGCAGCCATGAGATGTAAATGTATTCTGAAACTCAAGACTAACACTAGCTCAAATCTGATCACACAAACAACCTAGTATATTATTAATAGCTTAACTGTACTCACCAACTGTTTGCCAATCCAGTCATATTCATAATCAAACATATAACCTTTCCGATCAAGTAAGTCTGTGAAGAGCTTTCTTAAGTAGTCATAGTCTGGCTTTTCAAAAAAATCCAGCCTTCTTACATAACGTAGATATATAGCCATTTCCTCTGTATAAATAAGAAATGCACATAATTGCATGCCTGTTTTAATGGCACTCAAAAACCAGTACTTACTACATTATAAAGTAACTTCTACCTCTCAACATAAACCTAAACAGTTGTTCACCATGAATCTGTGAATTACCAGAAAAAAAGTTAATTAATAGCAATATTTGTCATGATATGCTGCCATATTCTAAACATATCCTGCTAAGTAATTCCCCACTAATTTCCCTTAGCATTACCTGTTAAGATCTTCCATTCAACCTTTCAATCCTGATACACAGTGTGCCAAAAGAAGTGTGGCGAGAAATGCCTCACTTTTCAGCTGTTTGGTTGTTTTGGTTTTGGTTTGGTTTTTGTTTTTTTGGGGTTTTCTGGTTGTTTTTGTTTTGTTTTGTTTTGGGTTTTTTGGGGTTTTGTTGGTTTTGTTTGTTTGGTTTTAAATTAAACAAAGACAAGCCTAAGGAAAGGTAAAGAACTGGGTATATGGATGTACAGGGTGAATTATGTCTCAAAGAGCACATGTTACTGGAATGTAACCTTCCTTTATGAAGAAGGATTCTAATAGAGGATCCTAAAGCAGGCAACTCCAATCATCCTGACAAAAAACGAACAGTACAGGCTCTGCTGAGCTATAACTGTAGTATACCTATAGAAGGCTGCAACAGCACTGCATACTTCAGGCATCATGTTACGTGAAGGTGTTGAGCCAAAGCCTTCTACTTAAGACAAGAATTCCAGCACAAACCTCTTGGCAGATGAGCAGAGCATACAGAAGTCTCATTCTTGATATGGGTTTAAGCCATAAGAGGCTTCTGAAACAAGCAGCTGTAAGGAACAAGCATCTTTGTGGATAGAAGACTACAAGAATCCAAGGACTGAAAGTGAGGATCCATGAACATCTGAAGCACAAGCTTCAAATCCCACAGAATCACAGAATCGCAGAACGTTAGGGATTGGAAGGGACCTCAAAAGATCATCTAGTCCAATCCCCCTGCCGGAGCAGGAACACGTAGATGAGGTTGCACAGGAAGGAGTCCAGGCGGGTTTTGAATGTCTCCAGAGAAGGAGACTCCACAACCTCTCTGGGCAGCCTGTTCCAGTGCTCTGTTACCTTCACTGAGAAGAAGTTTCTTCTCAAATTTAAGTGGAACCTCTGTGTTCCAGTTTGTGTCCATTACCCCTTGTCTTATCATTGTTTGTCACCAAGAAGAGCCCGGCTCCATTCTCGTGACACTCACCTTTTAGATATTTGTAAACATTAATGAGGTCTTCCCTCAGTCTCCTCTTCTGCAAACTAAAGAGACCCAGCTCCCTCAGCCGCTCCTCATAAGGGAGATGCTCCACTCCCTTAATCATCTTTGTAGCCCTACGCTGGACTCTCTCCAGCAGTTCCCTGTCCTTCTTGAACTGAGGGGCCCAGAACTGGAATCCCATTGAGGTATGTGACTACTTCTGCAGTAACTTTTACAGGAATCAGTGAAATGAAGGGCATGTGGAAAAGCAACCATCTGAGAAAACAGCAGACGGTGAGAAGACAAACATTAACAAACTTTCACAAAAGACCAAGTCCTACATGTTCTTCCCCTCCAGCAGGTATTATAAGAAAGAACTAAGTACTGAAAGAGTGAAGAGAGCAACAATTTAACCATACAGAAATTTTGTTGCATTCAGACTGTATCCATCTACAGCTTCCTGTTACAGAAAGAGGGAAAAAAAGGGGGAAAAAACCAAACAAGAAAAAAAAAATCACAGTGCAGTGGTCTGGAACAGAGTACTGCAACAGGTTCTCACAGCCTGATATAGATCAGGTGAAGCACTTGACCTGGGTCCTGGGACATGAGTTACAGGTGGAGAGAGCTCTTATTTAACTTGTTTAGGAGCCTCTGTAGCTTATGGAAGAGTGGGAAACCACCCACAGGCAAGCCATTCTGAGAAAAGCAATGACTCCTCAGTCTGAAGTCAAAAAGGCTACCACATGGTTCCAAAGAACAAGAGAAGGCACCCCTGTACGATCAGAAACTCAGAGGACAAGTAAGGCTAAAAGTAGATGCCAACAGAATTCATTGATCCTATAAAAAGATATGTATGTCAGAAGCAGCACAACAGTATCGCTTCACACTCACCCTGACCCAGATACCACATTCCAGTAAGTCCGGAGAAGATGACATTTTATGGTACAAAAAAGGTGCTGTAAGAAGCCTGTTTTCTGACACAGGATGGCTGAGAAGTGCAGAGGCAGTGCTAAGACTGAGCTATGCTAAGTTAAACTCTTTCAGAGACACTAAGGTAGAAAGAGAGATAAGTGAATGTTTGAGAATAGCTTGATAACAAGAAGTTGTGTGACAGTGTCATATTGATGCTGTCACAAACGCACAAGACAATGGTATCGAGACATCTGAAATTACTCAGTTCTAACAAGAACAGAGTATTAAGTACTATGTTTTAGGCATGAGCAGATGAAGCTGTGGACAGGAGGAATTCCTTGGCACCTAAGGTCCAGCTCAGCAGAAGCAAGATTCTCCAGCAATACTAGCCAAGGAGATCAGCATTTGAAGGTGGCAAAGAAATGCTTACACACTGCTAGGGACCTCTTTAACCACATCTTTTCAATATAAACTGGAACCCAAAGCATGCAAGGCATGTCTTCAGATGTACAAAGGCCAGAACTAAGCCATTTAATGCAGCTGAACCTGCTAAAACTGGCTGATCTCAAAAAACAAGTATCACCCTTATCATGCATTTGAAGCAGAAACTCTGGAGTTTAAATCCTTTTTTTTATTTTATACAAAGCTTGAAAAAGCAGCACAAAGACAGTACAATTCCACAGAACAGGGTGTGAAAAAAAGGTAAGTATTTCACAAGTGACAAAGACCAAAGTGTCTTTCACTGATACTACAGAGTTCTCTTGCCTCAGGGAACATCAATCAGCTAGCTAAGTCTGCAGGCTGACTGAAAAGAACTGAGATTATGGTAGATGTACTTCTCATTCTATTCTATGTCTTCTGTGACAAGGACAGAAAAAGGAAGAAAATTCTTGGATATCACACATGTAAGAAGTTCCACATACAAGAATATATTTATTATTAATAGGTACATATGTACTACCAAATAAGTTTATTGTTTGTGTTCTCCAAGGTCAAATATATTTCCCCTGAAATTTCCCACCCCTATCAACACGCATGTATTTGAAAAAATTTGGCGGAAACAGTCCACTAAATATATGGAGCTACTCATACATAATAGTTTCCAGGAACTGCACCATATACTCCTTGAATTAGATATTTAAAGGATTCTAGCAAGGACATAAAAAACAACATGCAAGACATACACATTACTAGATGCAGAAGGTTTATATTCCAGAACAGGTTTGTTTTGTTTTCCCACATTTAAACTTCCATCAATTCACCAAACATATATTCAGACATTTGCTCTACGTTCTATAACAAAAGTCAATTTCATTTGATTTTTTTTTTTTAATACACAGGAGGGAAATTAAAAGATCAGAAAAATTTATAATAGACTAGTTTTTACCACAGGATTGGAAAGAACTTCAAATGCCGTCTAGTACACCACCCCATCCCATAGCAAATTAGTTACAGCTTTGTCTGCCCGGTTTGTTTTCGCACAACTCCAGTAAATGAAGTTCCATAGTGTTCTGGGTAATGGGAATCCCTTCATGCTCTTCGCAACATTTGAAACACAGGAGATCAAGTCTAAAAGCTGGTTTGGATTAGATCTATTACTATGTCCTAGCTGCTGTGGATGCAGCAAACTGATTACTTTCATGTTTGTATCAGCCAAAAGGCACGGAAGGACTTTTTTCCCCCCTCACGGTTGTGACTAAACCAATCATTTCCTTCAGTCTTTGGTGATGGGTCTAGCAAATATGGCATATAAGTACTCACTTTATGAGACACCCTGAAAATAGAATAAATTTTTTGAAGTACAGCCCCTAAAATTGAACACACTGCTTCAGCTGAGGCTTTTTACAGAATCATAGAGTCATTAAGGTTGGAAGAGACCTCTAAGATCATCCAGTCCAACCATCAACCCAACACCACCATGCCCACTAAACCATGTCCTGAAGTGCCACATCCACACATTTCCCGGAGGCCTCCAGGAATGGTGACTCCACCACCTCCCTGAGCAGCCTGTTCCAGTGTTTGACCACTCTTTCAGTAAAAAAAAATTTCCTAATACCCAATCTAAACCTCCCCTGGCACAACCTGAGGCCATTTCCTCTTGTTCTATTGCTAGTTACACAGAAGAAGGGACCAACACCCACCTCACTACAACCTCCTTCCAGGCAGTTGTAGAGACTGGTAAGATCTCCCCTGTTTCCTCTTCTCCAAGCTAAATAATCCCTTGTTCAGAAACAAGTAGAGCAGAAATGGCAGTTCATGTGTCTTTCAAGCTATATTTTGTTTATATAATCTAATTTAGTATAGAATTTGTGTACATTTTTAAAAATATAGCAGCATGACAGTGTTCACTTGCATTTACTTTGTGACTGGCTGACTGGTACATTACCTAAGGAACCTTTCCATACCCAATAGTTCTTAATTTGGATTTGATCTCATCTTCGTATATTACAGTTCAATAAATCATTCAAAGTATCTTATATTTTTAAGACTGTATTTGTAATCTGACAGGATCCTTCCATTCTAACTCCACTGTTGAGCCTACAAATCACAAACTTATCACTTGCACATTTAATAAACATTATCAATCATACAAGGCACTTGAAAACACTAAACAGATACACCATAGATCTCTGTGGAATGCCATTTCCTATTTCAAATTTGGCAACAACATACTTAACTACTTCAAGTCAGCTTACACTCTTCTTCCCACAGTAGATTACTCTTGATTATGCTTTTAGGATTACTTATGAGGATCTTTTAAAAGACCATCAAAAGCAAAAGTACTAAGATTTCATGACATAAAACAACAAGGCCTGCTGTAGACAGGATTTGCTTTCATAAGAGGAAATTAAATCAATCTGTCATGAGCTATTCTCAGCAAATCCATTTTGCCTATCAATGATACTGCGATCACTTTTCAAGGTGTTTTAGTTTTATTTTGACAAAACTGTGGCCATGCTGCGTGCGCACACGTGTCTCCTGTCCAGAGCTGATCAGTCCAACTTTTAAAAAAAATGTCATATTTGCTTTTCTCCACTTTTTCAATATCTGACTGATTCTTTGTGCACTTAAAGAGAAGCACAATAGAAGTGACACCTGAAATTACTTCCAAGTTATTTTAAGTATTATTTCTAGCAGTTCCTAATACAGCTTGTTTTAAAAAGGGGCATGGTATCAGATTTGAGCTGCAAAGGGTTGCAAAACTTTATTTGTGAAGATACAAGTGTAGACTAGTTGATCACTGTAAGAATACATACTATAATTTTATTTCATGTTTCCTTTACAGGATCTGTATTTGAAGAACACCAGTATTAGCTTATTGCTGCTTCAAAGGATAATTCCTGTATCTATTACCATAGCACATAACGTGTATTTTGAAGTACAATTTTATTTTAAAACAAGGTATTAAACAATTATCTATACCAGTTTCATCTTTTAAATCAATACATAACATTTTTATTAACAGTAGATATTACCTGGGAAGTTTTCACACAATACTTCTACAGGGGTTGCTCGTTTTGTGTCTCCAATTTTCTGGTAACGTTCTTTTAATGTATCAGCCTATGATACAAGAACAAAACAAGCTTCTGAAGCTACACAGCTTGCAGACAAACTTTCAAAAAGAGAAAGATCATGGCAAGAAAAGCTGATGATCCGAAAATAGGATAGAGGAAGATATCAAAAACCACTACCTTTAAACCTTGCCATGGAAGGCTTCCTCTGAGAAAATACATAAACATATGACCTAAAGCTTCCAAATCATCTCTTCTACTTTGCTCTGAAACAAAATTCAAATATTATTAAAACATTCAATCTTCAGAAATCTACATTATATTTAAAAGGTTAGTTTCCAAATTATGTGAAAATAATTGGGAGTTATAAAGTACTTGAAATCAAACCGAGCATGTGGGGGGCTTCTTGTGTACTATGGACTCCATTAAGAACACAGCTAAAACAAAAAGAAGATGCAGACTGCTAGTACGATCATCTCAACAGTACTTTAAACAAATTATCTCACTTTAAAACACATTTTGACCCTTTACATATATAATTGCATTTTCATTCACTATTTTTTGTTCCATTAGTTGTGAACTTGAAACAATTTAAGAGAAGTATTAATTGAACTCATTTTTCCTCTATAAAATCATGGAAAAGATGGTATGTTTCTTAGGGACACCCTACAGAATTTCTGAGTAAGCCAAAGGTGGACTGAAGAAGGCTCAGAAGTCTTATTATTTGATCAGAAAGCAGCACAGAGAGGCATGTACATACAGCCTGCTGTCAAGTCTAGCTGACTTAAAAGCTAAGTTACAGAAAACGATGTCTAGCATGGCCACAATTTTTCTTCTGCAGTAGAGCAGTGGCAGTACTTCAAAAAGTTTGCAGAAGGTTAAAGGCAAAGAAAAGTAACAAGCAAAATGCAGAGTATTCAAAGTTTTCAAAGTACATTCCATATTATTTTTAAATAAAATCCATTATTCTTAGGAATACTGAATGTAATAGAGAATAAGTAAAAGTCTGCAAGTGAGTACTGGAAAACCCATTTTTACATTTTCACCTGACTTCATACTGTACTGGTGTTGAAACAACTGTTACACAGCATACCATGTTTTGTAGTAACAGGTAGTATTTACCTCTAATTTTTACTTTCTCCCTGACACAAGGCAAAAAAATGAAATATTAACATGGTTTCTAGTCAGTACTACATAAAGACAAAACCACTGTTTTGGTTTTGACAGCATGAGAAATGAAGAAAAGGAAAAAAATGTTAGATTTTGAACACAGAAAAGTTAACAAAGCCAACCTGGCTTTGATATATTCAATACAAATTATTGCCACAAATATGCTGCATCTGAAAAACAGCTCTTAATCTTCATATAAAAAGTACAATTTACTTATTGAAAAATAGTAGTTAAATATCACTTCCTATGGATGGAATTTTTCAAGACAAGCCTGAGAAACAGGAAACCCGAAGACTATATATTGCTATTGGTAGAAGGACCTCTGAAAACTTGTGAAAAAAAAAAAACAGCAGTGGCCTAGCTGTAACACAAAAGGATTTTAAGCATCAGCTTGAGGAAGGGCTGCTGATCCTAGTGCATCACAACTTAATGAGACTGAGAGGATCCGTTGCCTAAAAGGTAATACAATCATATGATAACAAACACACAAAGCTTTAGGGCACATGGTCTCCTCTCTTTCAAGGACGTCTCTTGAAGCTAGCTAAATTAGTAAGAAACTAATACCTGTTATTTAGTTCACAAGCTACAGATAAATTAATCATTTCTATTCAAATAGGTTGATTTAAATAAGAACTAGAACTTAATTCAGCAGGCTTTTTTTTTTTTAATCATACATGGTAAAGTAACCATAACAGAGGTCAAACAACAGCCAGCCTTCAGTAAGCATCCATTATAAACACTAAATTCCCTTTCAAAGAGTTTTACTGCTTGCAATAGAAATGCTGAAACAGGAGAAATGTACTACCTATTTGGATCAGAAAACACACTGTTAGCCAATGGCATGATTACATGGTTTGGTACACAGATTCGTTACTGTAGTCACAAAACGGATAGAAAGCGACAATCTACATATCCAGACCTATCAGTCTATATAGTTTAGCAAACAAATTCCAAAGTTATCACCCAGAGTTTGTAGTCTTACTAAAAATTCTATGATTCTGTACAATAATAAAATGAGGGAAAGAACATCATCCCTTCCTGAATGAAACCATGAATCCTGAAGTTAATGATTCTCATTCATAAAAATGGCATCAAATGCCAAATTTATCTTAAGCATATATTGAATGCCATACTATTATGTTAAGAACAATGGGGACTTGATGAAAAAAAACAACCAACAAACATTTTCAATTATACCTTTAGTTAAGGGAGCAAAGATTTACTTAGTTTACTTAGCTTATTTTAGTTCGTATCAGAAGCACTGTTTCATCTAATTATGGATTTATAAGGCTAGTTATACAGAAAAAAAGGTATCGATCTAAGCCAGCTACAATCTTGCCCCTGAGATCCAGTGATAATTCAGTGGGTATGAGAAGGAGAACTTCCTATGGGGTTCCTAGGACTGGAAAAGGATTTCATCCTGCACCACTGGCTCAGTGACAAGTGAAATGAAAGCTGCTAGGAATCCTTGAGGACCATCACCACAAAGCACAGCTTGTGTCTGCAGAAGACATTTTCTTTGAGTTTCCTGAAATATTCCAGGATTTAGGCTAACACAATTTTAGGTCCAAATGTTTAATGTTCTCATAATAATAAATGCATTAAAATTGATCCAATGTAGAATTGGGTTTTCCTGGTCTAGATCACAAAGAAGTCTGCCTCCTAGAAAACTGATTTTAAATCAAGAAAAATATGACAGCTCTGACAACAGAGTAGATCTTCTATAAAAGTAAAGGTGGAGCTATTTTGGTTTTGATTGAAGATAAGTACTGTTTAAAGAAATTGACTTAATTTGCCCTTTCAGTCAGCATTAAAGAGCAGGTGTTTCATTTCCAGAAGAGTCTCAGGCATTCATTGTGACTCTTCAATAATTAAGCACTACAACCAAGGATATTTGTTGTTCCCCAGGGATCATTATAAATAGCCCTATTGTAGCAATTACAACTCCATGTGACTATACTTAGTACAGCCAAATAACTTAGACAATAATTCAGTATGCTGTTTTTCTGAATTTAGTGAAATCCCAAAACAATTACCAATTTAGAGTTTCAGCAAATACAGAATATTGTAGGACATTTACAGATGCAGATTTTTGTATCCCTTAAGCTCCCAGTCAGAATCTACGTTCTCTGTGATCTCTCCTTCCCTTTCTGAAAATGAAGGGGATTGGAAAAGGAGCATAGAGTAACTTTAGAAGACAATTAAAGAAGTTACCTTACAGAAGCAAGGGCACCAGCTAGATGCTGATAAGAGCTGGAGAATTTTTTTATTTTCTTCATATAGCTACCTGAACAAAGCCACATTATTTTTCACATATACAAAATACCTTCTATTACAGATATAAGCTCCCAGTTTGGCACAAACTACCAGAAGCCCTTGATCAAACATCTGCTACTGGATCTAAAGATTCTTGAAATAACTGGCTACACAATGTTCAGTAACTATACCTCACCTTCTACATACACCTCAAAAGAGTGGGCCTTGGTAATTTTGTGCAAGTTTTGACTAAACACATGCAAACATTTAAAGTCTTCCTACTTACTATGTACTTCTTATGACAGTTTAAAACACTATCAATATTAAAATGTACTTTTGATCAAAGGACAACAAACTTTCTTATTCATACATACTAACGTCAAACAAGTTACAGTTCAATAAATGCATACTTGAAATAAGAGAATGTGAACCTGACAGTCTCCCTCTTCACTGAAAACACATTTTTTACAAGGGTAGCTGACACCCTGGGTAGTCAAGAAACAGTAATACATGCATTAGTTTTGCTATGAGACCATTGAAGTTGCTGGGAAAATTACCTACAGATAAAAAAATATCACCCTGAAAAAGTCTCTTACTACCATAAAGAAACATCCTCAAAGCAAAACAAGCTGCTGAAGAAGAACATTAGCTTTGTCACAGCTACCTTGGCCAGAGGAGACTGTCTATACCTTATCCAGTCTTCCTAATGGCTTTGCATCATTTTGAGGGGTACAGAACTATCCATGATACAAAAGCTAAGTTTGGCAAGAACTTTCATACATACTGAAAAGGTAACCATTAGATAAAAATAAACCTGTCCAATCAGAGATCAAGATTCTACCTAAGGAGTGGAAAAGTCTCCCTTGAAGGAGAAAGTGTCACTTACTATGTTCCTGTGTTAATATCAGACATGTAGTCTTCTCAAAATTCAGTTGTGCTCTTCAAGTAGAAGTTTTACCAGTTTGTTACATTACCAGAATGTACCAGTTTTACAGTCTGGTTTATTTTCTTAAATGATGGGGAAGGGAGGGTGTCCTTATTTAAGAAGGACTAAAAAAAGCTTATTTGATTTTAAAATTGGTTTTATCACCTTAAACTGACACAAACTTGGTACACCATGCCTGAAAAATAAAGTTGATGTTTCCTTTACTTGAGGAACTTGTGTTCCAGAATTTATGTTTAGGAAGTTCAAATCCTGATACCAAGTTTCTAAAAGTGTTATCAGTGTAAAATATTCATTATCCTATCAGAAAAATACTAGTATTTACACTATTATTCTTAAATGAAAAATTATTTAACTTACATCTTAAAACTCTTTGGTTCTAATATGGCTTAACAATAATGCAGATTCAGTCTTTACTTGGTGAAGAATAATAAATCTAGCAAGCATGACAAGCTTCGAACAGTTCAGTTATTTTTTACACATACTTCAACTACATGAATGTATAAAGAATTAAGGCCAGCTTCATTATACAATGCATTTTGAGACAGGAAAGTGGAGTTGGAGGTATTTAATTATATTTAAATTACCTGGAATATGCTATTATACTGTTTTAATTAGAGACTGCTTCTTATCAAGAATTTCAAAACCCACTGACATCAATGACAAGAGTTGAAGTCATGACAAATTTGTCATCATTGTGGTCATAGCAAGAAAACATCATAGCACTACAGTAAATGCTGCAATATTACAAAGATAGGATTTTCCTTCCAATTTCAAACACTAAAAGAACTGCTCAAAGATGGCATGCTGTGTTTCACTTCTAATGTGGGGGAAAGGTAAAAATGTGTTCTAGTCAGCCAATTCTCAGATATGATTTCAGTACCATAATGCAAGTAAATTTAACTGAAAAAGGAAAATAAATTCTATGTTTTATACAACTGCAAAAAAAAAAAAGAAAAAATATTAAAGTTTATGACCATTACCTCTAAGAAATATTAAATTAAAAAGTTAATAAGTAAACCTTTTATCCATCTGAAACCCAACTGCAACTACTAAACCAGTAAAAACTTAAAGTGGTAAGAAAATAGGGAAAGTTTTCCACTCTGTACTACAGGAAAATGTATTACTGGCACAGGCTGCCCAAAGAGGTTGTGGAGTCTCCCTCCTTGGAGACATTTAAAAGCCATCTGTTCCCAGTCCTGGACAACCAGCTCTAGGTGGCCCTGCTTGAACAGAGAAGTTGAACAACATGACCTCCAGAGGTGCCTGCCAACCTCAACTATTCTGCAATTACCAGTCCACTACTGAAATCTTTCTTTACTTGTCAAGGTTTCACCAGACACTTCCATAATAAGGAAAGGAACCACAGCAACCACAGTTCTATGGAAAATGGGGATGCCGATATTTACACTGTTCGCTACTGGAATACGAAACAAGTGCCTTCTAATTTTGAGACATTTTCTGATACCTAAACTAGCAGCTGATTTGCACAAAACAGAATGAGTGTAATACCCTGATGCTCTGAAATATCAGCTGAAATAAGGAGAGATTCCCTCCACTCCTTTCCCCTGTCCACATGAAAACATGTTGGTAGACAGCTGAAGGCAATGACAGCTGTCAGCTCTGAAGTAGCCCACATCTAACAGAAATAGACCATTGGAAGCTATTGGGCAGACTGTGGAAAATCAAAATCAGGTGGCTGTCACTGAGTTTGGCCTTCCCTCTACAACTTGAAATTGCAGCCCTGCGGTAGAGATAACTGAACACTTTGTGAATCAATCTCTGAAACTTGACAGGTTTTTAGTGCAATTTAGATTTCAATGAACTGAAAGGTCTGTTAGCTTTAATATCTCATGCTGAAACCCATAGTTGTTCAAATAATTTTCTTCATTATCCATTTGCTCTTCCTTTCCAAGACAAGTACTAATAATCATCATTCTTTCCTTCTACAAGTAAGCACCACCTTTAGTGGCCCAACTTTTCATCTGCTGTAGCACTGCAAGCTTTGTATTTTAAGCAGGAACATAGCGTGAACTGCTACATCATTTCTTGTAAAATTTATTTTTTGTCTATTTATTAAAAACCTTGACAATTCTTAAACTTTTATCACTGTATTTTACTTAGAGAGAATAAACTATTTAGAATGAATACTAATAAACAATCTTTAAAGATATGTACTACAAATATGGTAACGTGCATTTTCAACTCTAAATTGCTTTGCAGACGCTAACAATGCAAAAGTGCACATTAGTATGTATTTGAAAGGAACTGCTATTCAGATTATTTTATGAAGATTATTTTTGCTTTAAAAAAGTCTTTCTTCTCAGCTCTTCACTGGTGAGCAAAGTATATGAAGACACTGGCATACTTCAAGTATTGAAAAAGTTCTGGAGGAAGACAAAATCTTGGAATCTAAGTATGGAAACCAGGGGTACTTAACATGAAGTTCAAAACTTAGTTTTCTTCTATTCCTCAGCCCTTTTGTCCATGTCAACCTTATTCACAAATTGCTTATTTGAAGGACAGATGCTTCCAGAATTCATTTAAATTATCAGAAAAGGAAGTCTGTAAGAATGACCAAAAAAAATTCTCCCAAACTATCAAGACTCAATTTGCCAGCAAAAGGAAGACATTCTCACTCGCTTAATTCATCTGCTGAACTTCAACATGATAGTTAAACTTAGTATGATGATTAACTTCTTTATGTGCAAAAGTATGTTTTAAAGAAAAGCAAACTGGGTAACTGCTTTACTGCTGCTCCATTACATATAAACCCACTTACTAAGTTTAGCCAAGCAAGCTGTATTCCAGGATGCTCACAGAGCCAAGAGTCTCAATTGCTTTTCACAAGACCTAGTTATATTCTAGATATTAAATGTGTTACCTTGACAAATAATATTGTTGAAATTTGTGCATTCCTGATGTATAAGTACAAAGAATTACATTCTTCATATACTTAGCAGAAATTATATCAAATATCTATCTGTTATTTACTTTAATTAATTGTATACTTTCTACAGAAGCAATTCCAAAAAACTGGAAAGATGAGCACAAAAGCCCCATCTCCAACCCTTGGAAATGTAAGCAACTATTATTTTGTCTTATTTTCAGAACTTGTTCCTAAAAGCATGCATATAAAGAAGGTAGCCATCCTGTGAAGATGCTTCCAGGGAGTGGGACTACCAACGAGATTTTAAAGGCAACTCAAAAGCTTGCCTCCAAAAATCAGGTATCAGATACAAAGGCAGGACAGTTATATATTAAACAGCACTTTTTCCATTTCCCTAAAAAAATTAAAAGAACCACCAAAAAAGTCAAAAACAAACAAGAAAAACACACACACACAAACCAAAAACAAATCAAGAAACCAAAGACAAAACATGCAGTGTGTAAATATGTAAAAAGTTACTTAAATCTAGGTGTACAGTACCTAAATATAACTCTTATCAAAGTGACTGGGATTGCCTTTCAGCAACTGTCCAAATTCAGTGATCTCTGACCACATCCTGCTAATAATCTGGGGATCTTACACACATTGTTAATCTTGCATATAGATACATAATACAGGCATAGGTACACCTGCTCTTTTCTCCCTACTTAATGGAGAAATTCGATGTTGTTTTAGGAATCTACATGGAGAAAGCTAGACCAGCTCATGCCAAAATCTGGAATGAAAGCTGGAACTGGTTTGTACATCATGAAATTAAATCCTTCAGCTTTGTTTGTAAAGAAACAAAGAAGCCAGAGGATGTAGAGATGCAAGTCAAGTGAAATCATTCAAAACTAATTTTCAATTATGAAGTAATGGCTGGCCATGTGAAATTATACCCTTTTAAAATGTCAATATAGAAAAACATCTTTTCATCACCCATTATATGTACCTCCTTAAGTTTTCCTCCTATCTGTCTTGAAGATTTGCAGGTTTTGTTTAATTTGAAAAAGCTCCACACACTAACTTGTCTGGAGATGCTGCAAATTTCCAAAGTTCGCTGTCCTGAAGTACTGTTGAACAATGTTTTGTAAGCACAGGTCTACATTTGCCATGGAAGGCACTAAACACATATTTATATGTTACACACACACACACACACACACACACACATATAATATATATTCTGTCTCTACATTTTCATAGAAAAGATGTATCTGAAGTCAGTTTAGTAGTCAAGAAAGTTCAACAGGTCTTTCATAGCAATTTTATTTTGAGATCAAGCCAGGCACCAAGAGAAAAGCAGAAACAGGCAGAAGAGTCAATTTACTAAGCAAAATAAAATAAAACTTCAACTCCATTTTAAAAAAGGCACTGTCCTGGTTTTAGCCGGGATAGAGTTGATTTTCTTTCTAGTAGCTGGTATAGTACTGTGCTTTGGATTTTGGATAAGAATGATGTTGATAACACACTGATATTCTAGTTATTGCTGAACAGTGCTTACACTAAGTCAAGAACTTTTCAGCTTCTCATACTGCCCTGTCAGCAAGGAGGATGTGTGCACACAAGCAGCTGGAAGGAGGCAGTCAGGACAGCTGACTCAAACTGGCCAGAGAGATTTCATACCATATGACATCATCCCAATAAAAACTGGGAGGATTTGGCCTGGGGGCAGTGTGGCTGCTTGAGGCCTGGCTGGACAGTGGTCAGTAGGTGGTGAGAAATTGCATTGTATATCACCTGTTTTGTTTATTTTTTTTACAATTACTATTTTCCCTTCCTTTTCTGCCCTACAAAACTGTCTTTACCTCAACCCATGAGTTTTACCTTTCTTCTCCTATTCTCTTCCCCGTCCCACTGGGGAAAAGTGAGCAAATGACTGAGTGGCTGAGTGGTGTTTAGTTGCCTACTGGGTTAAACTACAAGAGGCATAAAGGCTGAATACACATGCCTCATTATCACCCTCTAAATAAAAAACCGAGGTTGTTTGGCCGAGAGAAAAGGAGACTCAGGGGTGACCGCTTTAAGTGTTCACACATATTTTTCTATTTAAATTTAGTTATTTAATAACAACTTACCACTACGCGTGCACGCACGCACACACACACAATCTCCTGTATTTCTTTAGCTTATCTTATTTACAACGCTAGCATAACCTTTAACTACTCTGACAATGCCTCATTAACAGTATAAGCATTAAAAAGAAAAAAAAGAAATCAGTATCAAATATAAGCTACTTTTATTCCACTACATGGTATATTTCAGAGGTATAAAAAAACTGGCAAGGTAGCATTGAAAATCTAAGTTGTTGCAAACTATTCACTTTGAAATCTTTAATAAGCTTTATCTACTTCCCACTTACCCCACCTCAGCATGGTATACTTCTAATGTAAAGATATTACGACACAAAGATACATCTCATCTTTCTTTTATGGATACCTAACTAAAATAACAATTATTTGCTAGAACATGACCATGATTATTAGAGACCCTGAGAAACTTATTCTCATAAACAGTATTACCATTAAGACAAACTGTAATTCTGCACAGTACACAAAACTTGCAGTTCTTAATGACAACAAACTGAGAAAAATTACAACTTCAAAACAAGATGACTTCAGACAAATGACAGTTGTTGAATTCTTGCTGCTGCACTTAAAACGTCCACGTACCTTTTCCTAAATGTGTATTTATACTCATGTATCTAGCTGTTCCTGTAAGGCTCTTGTGTTCCCGATATGGTATGTGCTTCTTTGTTTCTCGATCTATATACTCCTTTGCCAAACCAAAATCTATAATATGAATAATTTGCTGGGTTTTGTTTCCAGGTCGTCCTATTAAGAAGTTCTCAGGTTTTACATCTCTGTATATCAAGTTCTTTGAGTGGACATATTCCATACGAGAAATCTTTAATAAGAGAAAAAAAAATGACAGAAAGTTTAATTAAAGCTTCAGGTTGCCACATTCAATAGTGGTAGAAGCTAAGTATCTTACATTGCCTTTATATTTAGAGGAAATCACCGCTCCTATCACCTTAAAACCGAAAGGTTATTGCTCTTAACAAGGTATGTTCTTGCTAGAGGAGTTAAAGTGAAGGAAAACTCTACACATTCCCCAAGTAGATACGTCACATGGTGTTTTGGAAACTTTCACACTCGACATTAGACGTAAATCAGTATATAACAAGTTATATTTAAGAACAGCTAGCACCAACTAGGTTTTCTGCACATTAAAACTATAACTGGAAATTATATCATCAAGAAGCAAGAAGAAAAGTTCCATGTAGATCTATTACATATTAAAGCTATAAGCAAGAGAAACAGTGTAAGTTCACAACTATGTAAATAACCTCCATTCTAGCTGGATCACTTTCTATCAAAATTTATACACTTAGAAAGAAACAGCAAGTATTAAATAAAGATGATCTTTGGATCTGTGATGATTTGAGCATTTTTTAAAAAGGCACTTATTCATTCTGGCTGTAAATAAGCTAAATATATCTATATGTCTATTAGTGGCAGGCTTGTTATATAATTGCAGTTGTGTTTTTAAACATCTATATTTACACTTCATTGGTAAAAACATCACTTCCTACTTAGGGAAATGGAGGTTCAGTATCATTAATATTTCATAAGGACTTGTTTAAAACATATTGTATACAGGCAAACATGCAAAGCCTTATTCCTCTTTCTCTGTCTTTCCACTTCTACACACACTTGGGTGAAAACCAAATCAGGAAATCTTCAGGAAAAAAAAGGGGAAAACTATCCACTGAATAATTTTGTGTTGTTTTAGGATTTCCAGAAGGATTTGAGCGATTATTTTTTGTTGTTGCTGTTTGCTTGCTTGTTTTCCAAGAATGCCCAAGAAAAATATTTATGCTATTTAGAAGTTCCACCAGGAAACTGCTTTTTTTATTTTGTGAAGATTTTCTTTTTAACTGAGCATGTCAAACTAAAATCATGATTTCAGGTTGTGATTATGAGAACTCTGAAGACAGAATGAAACTACATTGATGCAATGATTCTTGCAAAACTAGAACAAAGCAAATGAAAGTGACATATGACAGTCTTAACTGCTAAAACTGTATCACAGGTTCATTTAGAAGCCACCAACACCAATTTAAAACATGGGAAGTGCAAATCTCTTTTCATGCAAGAGAAATATGCATTTAATCCACTGAAGACTGATTTAGTTAATCTAATGAACATTCAAATTAACATCTATTCTACTTACCAACTGTATCGCTATCATAAGAACGGTTTTAAGAGAAAATGCCCTACCACACAAGTCAAATAAATCTTCCAGACTAGGTCCAAGTAGTTCTAGCACCAGAGCATTATATTTGCCACATGGGCCAAAATAGTAAACCTGTGGTATTCCATCTGTAAAATGAAGATACAAAATAATTACAAGTGGTTAAATAAGATTAAAGAACATGCCAATAAAATTCCTACCTGATTTCAATTTGTTCTGAAGTTAAACGCACATTTGTCATAGAAAAGCAACAACAAACCCTCAAAAACTACAGGCAGAAGATACAACAGGAGTAATGAGGACAGTACCAGTTTCACTAATATTTTATTAATATTTAATGTTTTACTTGTGAAAGATTTAAAGCTTTTTACAAAAAAACAAAAATCAGAACCTATCAGATTCTATAAGACTAAATTGAAATAGGATTTTAAAAAGGTTTGAAAAGAGGTTTAAATAAGCTCATTTTTTAAAAAATTGGCATTTAAATGAAACTTTTTAAACTAAGGCTATGACAAACCTACATTCAGAAATAAAACCATCTTAACATATACAGAAATCATTTATTTAAAAACCCAAAAGAGATTAAGGAATGCTCATGTTTAATGAGATATTAGGTCAAGTATTAGATGCCTCATCAAAATAAAAATATCATAGATGACACATTGTTACAGTCATCACTTGTTAGTATTTTTTTTTCCCCAAATACAAGTATTTTCTACTTAAATTTGCACTGGAAGGTCTTCTCTTCCTCCGTTATTTTTGGTTTCTGTTTAGATAGCACATAAACGTTTTTCTTAAATGTGAGTTAGTCCATTAAAAACCTAAATACCACAGTCCATCTGTTTTAATCTACATTTCTAGCAAAATGTATGATAGACTGAGATTTATTAATTCAGACTATATGAAGGACAGGGATTTTTTGTTAATGTAATCATAAGAACATATGACAGAGGAAATTTTTAGAAGTCTCAAAGGGAACCTATGATAAAGATTAACACTGTTTTCACTTCTGAAGTATCACACCAGACATCACTCTTCTTAAATTCTTTCAAAAATTTATGTCCAGAAAATATCCATTAAATTCTGTTCTTACTGTCAATTCATTAAAATTATTTAAAAGAAAAAGATCCCTGAATAAAACACAATTTCATATTTAAAATTTTATACTAACAAACACAAATTTCTAAGTTTTAGTTGTGTATTTTTTGTTTACTTAGAAAATTATTTACGTTACAATTAAGTTCAGAACAAAACACACACCATTTTCAAAGACAATATATGGGAACAAAAATATCCCACTGTATGTTAAGTTAATAATCTCCTAAATACTTTGTAAAAGGTATAAAATACATCTACTTAGAAGGCCAAAAGGTAAATTTAGTGTTAAAGGTACATTTGTCTTGAAATCTTGCATGAAGACTGAAATGTGCACTGTTGCTCTAATAACTTACATCTAAGTCTAACATTTTCCTGATGTAAATTTAGCATCATATTCTCCAACACAAATCACTTGAAGAACATGTAAATTTGCTGTCTGTAAAAACTATGGCTGTAAAAACTAAAAGTTAAGACTGGACTATTGTGTCAAAAAAAATATTTTTGTTGAGTTTTCTATGGCAGCATTCCAGAAACCCTGGCAGGAACACATACAGCACACACACCTCAGACAACTGGTGATACCAAGGCCATAAACGTCTCAAAAACTAGGGCTAAGTCATATGGGTTGCACTAAGAAGACACCCTTGCCAGAATCATGGAACAAGAGTCTCCTAATGTGCACAGCTTAGACCAGCTAAACTACACATCACCTGAAAAAATTACTTCTGTCCTTTTCTCTGAACAGAAGCATGATAAGCATGTCTATATAACAAGACTTCTCCTGGTACAGCAAAAGAATCAGTTAAATATTTAACAAAACAGTTAAAGGTATCTAAACCTTCAGTAGAGACATAAAAAACTTTCAGTTTAAGTTAGCAGAGTATGTAAGATCAACCACTTTGTTAGAAAATGCTTCCTGAAAGAATATTTACCAAAATAAATGCAGGCATCAGAAGACTGGAAATGTTCTCTAATATTCTCAAGCACTGCATTTACAATTACAGTAGCAACAATGCCGTGTTCATCTTCATGCTCAAATATCTTCATACACACTCATACTTTATCAATACAATGAATACACATACTCCAAAAATTAATACAAAATTCTTCTGCACTTCTGGACCTTACAGTTTTATATAAACATGACAGGTAATCCAGAAGTTTGAAAATATCAATATTTAAAGCTTTATGAACCCATTTCCCTTTCACCTTTTTGTACATATGCACTGTGTGACTATATAATTAAAACTAACTTGACATCATTGCCTGTATTCATCTTGGACTTCCTCATATGCACAAGACTTCTTTCTTATTCAACACAATAAACTTTGTTCACTTAAGAAAGCTAGTTATTCTGGATTTTTTTTTTTGCTCTTCAGTTACATATTCACTGTGTCTCATTTAAGTATTCAATACTTTGAATTTTTTTTTCCCTTTCATGTGAGCTTCTTCTATATTGTCCATTGTTACAATACTGTACTACTATACAGAACTACAAAATCGATTTTCAGAATACCTTAATGAAACCTTGAATTTTGCCTTCCTTCTCTGTAAATCAAATGTAATCCCTAACTCTGGATGTTTTTGAGGTACATCAAGTATCAAGTTTTTCACGCATTCCTACAGTGCTGCTTACACTCTGGGCACAGATTTCTAAATGTGTCCACTAGAGCTCTGGGTAAAAAAAAACAACTTACTGGTTTAGTAAAACTAAAAGCAAATGAATGCAGTATTTAAGAGCATTTTCACTAATCTCTTCCTATAAGTGAGACTAATGAAAGTATAACCCCTAAAAATCCAGTTTAACTGTTCAATTTTCTGAAGACTGGATCTTCCATTCATTTTTTTGTACTAATCTAAACTAATATACTTAACATGCATAACCATATCCATTTCATAAAGACTTCACAGGAGTACCTTATTACTACTAATGAATGAGCACAGATCATGCAGCATACTACGTCAGAACATGCTACATGACAGTGATTTTAATTTTATAAATATAATCCCCAATTATCAGATAATGGATTGAAAATATATTTGTAGACTTAAGGTGATATCATAACTCTAGAAATCAAGTTTTCTGACTCCACTTTCTGGTATGGTGGAACATGGACACATAGATGTTCCTGCAGCAGCAAATTAAGACATACAGAAATATAAGTAAACAAAAAACAACCAGCAAAAAAAACCCCAACCCTTGAGCTTATGAAGAGAAAGAAAAGCACTGCTAATCTGTAAGAAAGAGCACCACTTCCAATGGCCTGAGATGCATTGTGGGAATCTCTGTTCTTATATTTGCATGTTTAAAGACATTAACGCCAAAATATTATCAAGAGAAGTTAGTCTCCTCTATTACCATTGCATCTGCTCTGTGTCTCTTTGTAACATCTTAAATGCACTTCAGAAATACAGAACCCAGAAGACTCTTGGGCTTTCCCTAGAGTTATAGAACATGTTTGCATGACTACATACTAGTAAAAAAAAAAAAACAACATTTGTGGAAAGGAATATGACATCATCAGATTTGTAGACAAAGTTGCCAATTTCAGAAGTGTGTTTATAGCAGATGTCACCCTTTAACATTTTGTTCTACCACATCATACCATGAAAGCACCATAGCAACTTCTCTTATATACACATCCAGGTTAGGGAGTTAAGTGTTTCAGCTGTGATCAACTTAATTTTATTTAACATGGCAATAATAGTAATTATTCCACTCAACACCTGACCTTTCGATTATACAAAAAATCCAGAATACCCCAAAATCATGTTCAAGATGTTACTACCTTCTGCAAGGAAGATAAGGAGTGTTACACCTAAAATTCCTGTTGTTCGTAATATCATTTCATATTAACACTTCAAAGTACTAGAAGTTTTGGAATTTTTTTTAAATAAAATAGTTTCACTGCTTTTGCTTAAAACCAATAACCTAACATAATTCTGTTATTTGCATTGTTTCTTCAAAAAAAGTCAGAAAGTAACATGTTCCTAATAAAGAGTATCTAAGGTTTTTTCCCCCACAATAGAGATATAAATGTAAGCTCTCTTATATAAATCTTAAAAAAAATAGGTTAAGTTAGAAAAACAAACTTTTATTTCTAGGAAACAAAGAATTTATGCTTTTGTTGACAGGACATTCCAATACTTATTACCCGTTAAGAGCGTGTATTTTATTTCCATTTTGAATTAGTCTGGCTTCAATCACTGAAGTCTGTCAGTGTAAGAATATAAGAAGGAAATACTGGCAATTTTAAAGACATATCCCAATCTTCTTTCTGTGAAATTAAAGTCAGTGTTCTTAGGTAACTTGCTCAATAATTACTTTGATTACTCTTTAACCCTTTCTATTAGCTAGATGGATCTTATGCTCCATTCTCAAAAATCGTTTTGAGAAAGTTACACAACAACACCCTGTCCCCCCAGCAATAATGTGCAGAACTTAATGCTTGTCACACTAATCTCACTATAAGGTTACAAGTAACTTCTAGTATTCTACCAATGAAGAACGTTATTTGTAGCCAAAAAATAGTATCATGAACTCCCATTAAATTACTTCAACACTAAAACATCTAATTCCTTTCTAGATTCACAACTCTGAATATGGTGTCCTTATTTTCAGATATGAGCCACATTTAGTAATCCCTAGATATTTACACTTGCTCCCAAGTAAAACTCTTTCCTCTGAATGGACTCAATTTACTGAAGTAATCTGCAATCCTTTATGTGACTGCCTTATCGTGAAATTGCAAATCTATTTTAAACCAATATGACTTTCAATTCTATTTTACTCACAGTAAAAATCAAGGAAGTCTTGACTTGGAAATTCACTACCTGAATACTGCTTGGACTCAAATTTCTTTTTCTAGAAAAGTCCATTTTCATTAGCCACCTAAAATGTTGCTGCTGTACACCAGTGGTCTCCAAAATAGAGTGCACACATCAAAAAACTGTGCAAGAATATCCACTAGGGTGCTGGAAAAAAATATGAGAACTTACATTTATTTTTTTACCTAAAAATAAGAAACTAAGCTCTGCTAATATTAAATACATGGCTTGACAATGGAGCTCTCAGTCAGATGGTTGCGTCAGACATGGTACACGCAGGAGGCATTCTGGCAGAAGAGTGGGAATGCAGAGGTGATGACAGTAGTGTATTCATGCATCCCCTTACTTTTGGCTTATTACAGTTTACGTGTACCCAGTTAAGTGTACTTAAGGATTATCTTGTCTAGTTTTCACTGAACTCACAAAACAGACAAGTAGCTCAATAGATTCCTACAAAGAAACTACAGACTGAAGTTAATGCTATTATTGCTAGCACAAGCAAGCAAGAAAACAGCAGAACTGACACTTCTACTCCTTGTACAAGCCTATTTTCAAGAATTTCTTAAAATGCTTACTACAGAAGACTACCATCTTGTGTTTATCAAATTAAGAAAATTGCATGAAGTATTTCTAGAAATTATCATGTGACAAAAATTCTGCACCATCAAAATCAAAACTACTACCAAAGTATTTTCAAAATTATAATCAAAATATGAAATAAGGGGCACATATCCTCCAGTTAGTAATTTTTTCTGTAACTGTATAATTTGCAATACCTCCAATATTTTACTATTAGTAAGTCAGGCTTATATTTTGCTTTACATTCAGAGAGTAGAAAAGGAAAGCAGTGGTTGTTTTCTTCTCTTTTGTTCCCAGTTTCTCAGCACTGAGTAGAGTTATTGAATAGAACTACCTCTGCCATATATCAAGACTGGTTTATCACTCAAATGCTTTAGTCCACCATGTTCAGCACAAGATGACCAGAAAGTTTTTAAAGCTGACAGGCCTGACTTTATAACAGTGACAAGATAAAAACATTAGAATAAAAAAAATATTATTAGTAGATTGCAACTGCACCCATCAAACATCTTTAAAATAAAGAAAATGAAGTATAAGTTGTTTCTAGTTCCTTACCATTATTCACCTTGACTACTATCTTTTTCAAGAACTTTAGCATCAAACCTGATTTAAACTTGAGGCTACACTGCCATTACCTAATGCAATATACATGACTAGAATGAACACAGAGCTGTATCTTAAAGCAAAAATTCCAGCTACTTGCTTTAATACAGATACTATACAGTAGCCTGAATTATTGCATGTGTATCCTTGTTCAGGAAAAAAAAAATTAAAACAACCCAAAAAACAACTT